TTGACTGGTGCAGTTCTTTACACAGGACATATTCTCTCTCTCTCTCTCTCTCTCTCTCTCTCTCTCTCTCTCTCACACACACACACACACACACACACACACACAAAACAGTGACTTGCCTGTTGGTAGCCTTGTTGCTGAGGTATTGTCGGGGGGACAAGTCGTGGCTGGCTAGCAAACACATGTCCGTCTAAATACAGGGGTGTGATGTGGTTACCTAGAATGGGTGGGGAAAGAAGCTAGAGGTTAATTTTGTCCATAGGCTAATGTCTCTCTTGGTCTTCCTTCCACTTAGAGATGCGAAGGCCCCTCCCCACTCTGAATAAGGCAGCAGAACCAGGAGTCTCTCAGCCGTAGAATCTCTTCAAACACCCGTTGACTGATTGCACAGTTAGGGGTTCAGTAGGATCCATTGGAAACATCACAGAGACTACAACAGGAAGCTTTCAGTGTAGCTTGCATGACCACTTCTGTTATGCTAGGTGGAAATCATCGTGGGATAGTGCCCAAAGGCACTATTCTAGGTACATAACCTGCAGCTGGAGAGTGGGGGGTGGGCGGAAGGACAAGAGGGTCAGAACAGACCCCCCTCCTAGTTTCTCAGGCAATAAAGGTGAAGGTGGGAGAATTATACTTCCAGACTTGCAAAATTCTTGTTGGAATTCATTGTTGGAATATATTTCTATACAACAACTACAGTAGCATTCATCCAGTAGATGGCAGTATTTACAAGTTTGGATAAAGGGTACATACTCTATGCTCTTTTGTTCTAAGTAGAATTTCCTGCTTCCTGTTACAGTTAAATAGTTGAACAGTAAACCACATGGTGACTGTGTGGTGCTATCTCTAAACAGAATTTCTAACAATTCTGTTCATGTAGCCTACAATAAAATAGAAGTAAAGTAGGAGCAAAAGACTAACTGGACAAGCCATAAGCCAGGACTGATTCATTTTCGGTTTCTAGGCAGAGCAACAGTTCGCAGGGTATGTCCTGAGTTCTTCCCACTTCCTACACGAGTCTTAAAAAAACGGATGACACACCTGGAATTGAAGCAGATGGTGCCACAGAGGCCACAGGCATCGGGGGGACAGAAACCCCACCAAAGGTGCTGTAGCTGACCCCACTGGAAGCCCCAATGCTGGATGTAGGCTGAATGCCAGAGCTGACGCCTCCGGGAGAGCTCTGTTCGGGAAGGCTGGGAGAGTTTTCCCATGCCTTTCGGGCTGACTCCATCTGCAAGAGGACAGGGGGACAGGAATTAGCAACACAGCAGCATCCAAAGGACGGGTCAAGAAAGTCAGAAAGGACATATATTTCGCTCTGCAACAGACATTTTTTGCTCAATCGTGGTCGTAAGCTGAGGACTGCCTTTATCTGGTTACCCTGATTAAGGTTACCCTGAGGATGACAAATGAATGTTTTTAATTTTATTTATTTGCAGCTCATAATTTCTTAACTGCCCATCTTCCTCAGAGAGGGAGGTTGACAGTGGCCCATACATTGGCAGTGATACCTGTCCGTCAAAGATGTGCCTTTTTGTGAATTACCCATCCGCCAAAAAACTTACTTTAAGGCTGAGATCTGCTGTAGGGTAAGATATGTTTAAGCTGATGCAACGGGGAAGTTGGTGATCTCTTCGAATAACAGGGAGGGACTGGGTTAATCCAGACTGTTGAAACATAGATGGGATACAGTTAAACCTTGCTGGGTTTGCAGAGTTCTGTAAAATTCGTGGAAAGAAAAAGAACCTCGGTTAACCGACAGCAGCATTTTGGTGGAAACCTAACATACAGTCAAGCGAAGGATTGGACAAGGCATTAAGAGTGAGTAGGAAAGGAGCAGGTTTGGAGATCATTTCTTAAGGAGATTGTGGAGCAGGACACACATCAAGACAGACACAAGCACGGGCAAATCACATTTTAAGTGTAATTTTCCCCAAACGACGGGGAAGATCTCCACCTGATTTACAAAAGGAGGAGGAGGAGGAGGAAGCAGAGAACGAGGGGCTGGAAAAGGGGAGAGGAATAAAACAAGAGCAGATGAAGAATAAAACATAGAGCAAGTGAGAAGGGGAAATGACAAAGAGGAGAAGAAAATAACGGAGGAGGAAAAAAAGAGGAACATGAAAGAAGAAAAAGATGGAGGAAAAGAGGAAGGTGGAGGAAGAAGTAGAGAAGCAGAAACTGGAAAAGGGGGGAATAAAAGAGCAGATGAAGAATAAAACAGAGCAAGTGAGAAGGAAGAAATAACGAAGGGGAGGAGCAAGTGACGAAGGAGGGGAAAGAGAGGAACCTGAAAGAAGAAAAAAGTTGGAGGAAAGGAGGAAGGAGGAGGAAATGGAGAAGGAAAAAAGAGGGGGAAAAGAGGAGGGGAAGCTGAAGAAAGAAGGGGGAGAGAAGAGGAAAACGGAAAGGAGAAAAAAGGAAGGAGATGATAGAGAAGAAAAAGAGAGACGGGGAGAGAGGAGGCGTAGTGGAAGATGGGAAAGGAAAAGGAAGCAGTAGAAGATGATGGAAGAGAAAATGAAAGAAGGAAGAGAGGAAAATGAAAGAAGAGAAGGAAAAGGAAAAGGAGGAAGAAGAGAAGACGAAGAGAAGCAGAAAACAACCACAAAATATTCTTACGTTGCTGGCTAGCACGTTCTGTAATTTCGCCACGGGGTTGGCCGGGGTCCCAGGTGAGGAGCCAGGGGGCAGACTGAAGTCTGAATCCTGCAAGAAATTGGTCTCTTTTATCAACCAATCCTACACGTTGCAACTGGGTTTACTGGAAAGCAATCTTGGTTAACCCTCCTGGAGCAGGAGGTCCTTAAACACTCAAAGAGCCACTTGGACCCGTTTCCCACGGAAAAGAAAACACCGGGAGCCACAAATCTGGGTGGGTGTGGCCAACTCGACATCACTCTCTCCCACCCAGTCAAATGACCCATAGCGACACCTACCCAGCCGGTGATTAGGGCAGAGAACCGGTTGTTAAAAAACACCGGAAGCCACAAAACCCTTTTGACAATTCTCTCTCTTTTTCTCTCTCCCCCTCCCCACCCTCTTTCTGTCTATGTCTCTCTCTCCTCCCCTCTCTCTGTATCTCTCTCTTTCCCTCTCTATCTCCCCCTTTCCCTCTCTGTATCTGTATCTCTCTCCCCTCCCCTCTCTGTCCCCTCTCTCTGTATATCTTTACCCCCCCCCCTCTATCTCCCTCTCCCCCCCTCCTCTCTCTGTGACTTGGAGAGGGAAAGGCAGGACCGGCCAGTGGTGGGATCACCCAACAGGGAACCACAGCAGAGGGCCCAAAGAGCCACACGTGGCTCTGGAGCCGCAGGTTGCGGACCCCCGTCTAGAGGGAGAGTTGTGTGGAGCAAGTGTGCCTTTGATATGTTGCTCCTCTACCCGGCCACTTACTTCTTAGCGAGGGAAGTAGAATTGGGGAAGGGGCTGGATCCCCAATCAAACCATGAAGAGGGGAACTGTCCCCTTCAACTCGTGGCCCCAGGGCCTTCTTTGCGGAAGAAGGGGGGGGGAGACGGAGAGAGATGCCCAAGGAAAGAAAGAAGGAAAGCGCGAACCGTCCTCACTTTAGGGTTCACTCCGAATTCGATGGGCGGGACGGGGAGAACCGAATCCACGTGAATCTCCACTCCGTTGGAGGGGGCGATGTTGCCCTCCAGGCGCTCGGTCCCTTCCGAGCCTTTTCGGTTTTTCAAGGAGCGCTCGTTGCCGATGGGCCCCGGTTTGTGGTCCTTGGTGGGGGTCAGGGTTTGATCCGGATCCTGGGCAAGAGGACAGAGAGGCTGAGATGGAGGGAGGGAGGGAAAAGAGGAGGAGGAGGAAGAGGAGGGAAGGGAAAAGAGGGAAAACAAGGAAGAGAGTGGGAGAAAGAGAAAAAGGAAGGAAGAGAGGAAAAAGAAGAGTGAAAAAAATGTGAAAAGGGAAAGAGACGGATGGGAAAAGAAAGGAAAGGAAGATAAAGGGGGAGGGAAGGAGAAAAGAAGGGAAGAGAAGCAGGGATAGGAGAAAGAAGGGAGGGGGAGGGGAGGGAAGGGAGGGAAGAAGAAGAAACGGAAGTGGCAGGAATATAGAGGGAGGGAGGGAGAGGGGAGAAAAGAAGGGAAGGAAAGAGAAAATCAGGGAAGAGAAGCAGGGATAAAGGAGGGAGGGGAGGAAGGAAGGAGAAAAGGGAAGAGAAGCAGGGATAAAGGTGGCAGGGAGGGAGGAGGGAAGGGAGGAATGAGAAAAGAAGAAAGGGAATAGAGGCAGAAATAAAAGGAAATAAAGGATAAAGGAATGTATTTATTTTTTTTGCTTCATTGTTAAGACAGCCAAAAGCCAAAACAGGATCCCGGATGAAAAGGTTTATCCCTCCACACCACCTCTACATCTGCTTCCATCCTCACCTTCCGTCCGTTATTCCCAAAAAAATTTTAAATCGCCTTTTGGATGCTCAAAGAACAGCCCGGCTTTTAAACCATTGGATTCAGATAAAGCTTACCAATATTCCACCCACCAAGTAGTCTAAAACTGGGGGGGAGAAGGGGGGGGCGAGGGGAAGCGAAGACCGAAGCCTTCCTTCTGTTCCCTCCCTCCATCAGTGAGAGCCACAGGATTAGAAACACGACTCACCTTTTTATCCAACTGCTTCGAAGCCGGCTCTTTCGGCCCCTCTCCCTTGGCCTCGGCCAGCCCGCCTCCACTCAGCTCCTCCGGTTTGAGAGTGCCGTACGGAGAACTGCGCTGGGAAGAGCTGGCCGAAGATTCCCGCGACTCCGCGCTCAGATCGATGCCGCTGTCTCCCTGGCTGCCTTTGAACCCCTGCGAGAAAGAGGGAGGCCGGGGGAGTTAAAGCAGCATTAAGTTAAAGGTAAAAGTTCCCCTCGCACAAATGTGACAGTCGTTCCTGGGGGCGTCTAGGGGGCGATGGTGCTCATCTCCGTTTCAAAGCCGAAGAGCCAGCGCTGTCCGAAGACGTCTCCGTGGTCATGTGGCTGGCATGTCTCTCCCTGAGGCGTTGCCTCCGTCGCTGCTCCCTTCCCACCAAAGGTGGTTCCAATTTTCCTACTTGCATTTTTTACGTGCTCTCCAACTGCTAGGTTGGCAGAAGCTGGGACAAGTCACGGGAGCTCACTCCTTGATGCAGCACTAGGGATTCGAACCGCCAAACTGCTGATCGATAAACTCAGCCACTGAGCCACCGCATACCATTAAGTTGCATTTGCCTTAATAGGATAAATTTAACGCGCAACAAATTTTAAATTGTTTAACATTAAAATATTTAAATTGAAATTTAAAACAGTAATAGCACTAGCACTTAGATTTATATGACGCTTCACAGCCCTCTCTCAGCGGTTTACAGAGTCAGCCTAATTGCCCCTATCAATGATCTAGGCTCTCATTTTACCCACCTCGGAAGGACGGAAGGACGAGTCAACCTTGACCCTGGTGAGAATCGGATTGCCAAACTGCAGGCAGCCGGCAGTCAGCAGAAGCAGCCTGCAGTACTGCGCTCTAACCACTGCGCCAGCGTGGCTCTTAAAATAACTCTCTTTCCCATCGAATTCAATTCTACGGGTTGTCCTCAACTTATAACAGTTCATTTAGTGACCGTTCAAAGTTGCAATGGCACTGAAAGAAGCAACCATGACCTTTTTCATACTTATGACCGCTGCAGCATCCCGTAGTCAGGTGATCAAAACCTGGATGCTCAGCAACTGATTCATGTTTATGACGGCCGCAGTGTCCCGGGATCACGTAACCCTCCCCATTTGCGACCACAAAGTCAATGGGGGGGAAAGGCAGATTTGTTTAATGACCGTGTGACTAACTTAACAACGGCAACTCTGGTGGGAAAGGTCATGGTTGCTTCTTTCAGTGCCATTGTAACTTTGAACGGTCACTAAATGAACTGTTATAAGTTGAGGACAACC